AACCCCTCACAGAAAACCCAATACAAAACATATTGTTTTAAAGGCATGTATTCTATCTAGAAGTCATATTTGCACTTGATGATACCTGTAGTTTTTACAACAAACTCCCCGTTTTCTGTTGCTAATAATTTTGCAAACCTAGGCCAAAATATTTGATGTGCTCTGTGACCTATTTGCCACAAGCTGAGTTTTCTTTTAAAATTTTAACAAAAAAACAGTTCAGCAAGTCCAAAATTCTCTTTTTTCATTTTCCCTGAAACGCTGTAGCACATCCATGACTTGCAGTAGAAGAATTTGCCAGGAAACAGCTTTTTCCTGTTCCTGTGGAGTTGGTTACATTGTAAACTCCCTGAACTTGCTCTTTGGTTATAATTGTAAACACTCGATAATTAAAAATCAACCCAACCTGGTAAGTCCAGATAACTGGAGCTCCCCATGAAGCACCCAACAAGGCTGACCAGGATACAAAACCACAGTAGCAGCTGCTAAAGATATGAACAAAAATTCCTCTCATCCTCTCTCCGTTTATGGATGCTGTAACACAACTGAAGAGAATAAAGGAGCAGGAAGCATTTTTTTATCATGTTCCCCACACTGGAGTAGAATCATAGAATGCATGGGTTTGGAAGGGACCTTTAAAGGCCATCTGGTCCAATCTCTCTGCCATGGGCAGGGACATCTTTAACTAGATCGGGCTGCCCAGAGCCCCATCAAGCCTGACCTTGAATGTCTCTAGGGATAGAGCCTCCACCACTTCACTGGGCAACCTGTTCCAGTGTTTCACTGCCCTCATAGTGAAGGACTTCTTCCTAATGTCTAATTTAAATCTATCCTGCTCTAGTTCAAAACCATTGCCCATTGTCCTATTGCTACCTGCCCTTGTAAACAGTCCCTCCCCAGCTTTCTTGTAGGTCCCCTTCAGGTACTAGAAGGCTGCTATAAGGTCACACTGGAGCTTTCTCTTCTCCAGGCTGAACAACCCCAACTCTCTCAGCCTGTCCCCATAGGGGAGGTGCTCCAGCCCTCTGATCATTTCTGTGGCCCTCCTCTGGACCTGCTCCAACAGGTCTGTGTCATTCTTGTACTGAGGGCTCCAAAGCTGGATGCAGTACTCCAGGTGGGGTCTGACCAGAACATAGTAGAGTGGCAGAAACACCTCTCTTGCTCAGCTGGCCACACTTCTTTTGATGCAACCCAGGATGTAATTGGCCTTCTGGGCTGTGAGCGTGCATTGTTGGCTCATGACCAGCTTTTCGTCCACCAGTCCCCCAAGTCCTTTTCCTTAGGGCTGCTCTCTATCACATCATCCCCCAGCCTGTATTGATAATGAGGATTAGCCCTACTCAGGTGCAGGACTTCGCACTTGGCCTTGTTGAACCTCATGATGTTCACATGGGCCCACTTCTCCAGCTTGTCCAGGTCCCTCTGGGTGACGTCCCATCCCTCTGGCTTGTTGACTGCACCACTCAGTTTGGTGCCATCTGCAAACTTGCTGAGGGTGCCCTTGATTCCACTGTCGCTGTCATTGATGAAGATATTAAACAGCACTGGTCCCAGTACAGACCCCTGATGGACACCACTTGTCACCCACCTCCATCTGGACATCGAGCCACTGACCACTGCCCTCTGGATGCGACCATCCAGCCAATTCCTTATCCACTGAATGGTCCACCCATCAAATCTGTATCTTTCTAACATAGAGAGAAGGATGTTGGAGGGGACTGTGTCAAAGGCCTTGCAGAAGTCCAGATAGATGACATCCATTGCTCTTCCCATGTCCACCGCAGTACTATGCCATGCATTTCTTGGCTGTGTTTCACAGCAAAGATCTTCAAACTGATTTTCAGTAAAAGTAAGGGAAAGATAACAGTTCAGACAGAGAACTTGGGTAAAACCCAGTTCTGTCAGTAATATGGTGGGCACAGCTTTTTATTTTTTGAGGATAGGGTGGTGAGGAAGCTAAACAAAGCTGTAGTTGGCTGTACTCCTTAGTGTTCTAGACTGTGCTTTTTAGACAAGGAATAGATCCTAAGGAGTTTGATTTTCATAATTTTCCTGCCATTTAGCAAATGATTAGGTATACTATCGGCAAAGTGCATGGCTACATCTGTTTTCTAACCAGTTTTCTGTTGCCAAAGGGATCAAAATACCTGCTGTGTATCCTGTGCTACTTAGTGCAAAATGTTGCAACTCATGTGCACCACAGGATGATTCTTCCATAATGAAATGTCTTTTTAAGAAACTGTATTTTAAAGCTATTGAAAGCATCTGTTTTGTTCATACAATTATACAGTGCCATGTTAATTTGCCTTATTGTATATGTGGCTGGGCTGCTACCAGGAGGAAAGGCTGCCCTTCAGCTTTCCAGATAGCTGTGTGTTATTGCTGGCTCTGCACACTCTGTGAGCCAGAGCAGCACAGGATAGCACATGTCCAGGGCCTGAATTAAGATTGCGTTGGTGTTAAGGCTGTATTATTTTTCAGTTCTTGCATTTCTGACAGTGTTTCTCACACATATTTTTTAATTTGGATTTAGAGATGTATAATGTATACAAAAACACAGACTCAAAGTTCAGCTATTTGGCTTGTATCTGCTTGTAAAGTACATTGGTTTTGAAGTCAAAAACAAATCTGAAGAGTGACAGAGTATTGTTTATGTGAATGAAATTGCTCGTATATTGTCTTTATTATTGCATATGAAAGCTCATTTTAAGCTAGTATTTTTTCACTGTAATAAAAAAGTTCCTTCAGCTTTTCTGAGTAAGTCATGTGAGTTCACTAGGAATGCTCTAAAAAAAAGTATACCAAAAAAAGTTCTTCCAGGATTCACTAGGTTTCTTCAAATGTTGCTCAATTCTGTTTTTTAAGAACAGGGCTATCACCTGTGAACTGTATATGCATGAATTCAGGGAGGTGAAAAACAGAACACAGGGAACATGTTATTATACTAAATTAAGTTTTGAAAGATTTCCTGAAGATATCTCTGGGTAAATTATAGGCCAAAGCATCAGCGTCCTTGGGTATCTTTTGTTCTACAGTTAACTTTCTGATAATAGTTGTTTTCTGTCTCACTCAATAGGTATCCTCAGCTCGAGGTATCAATGCTTATGGAAATACCTCAGTGGTACAGATAGGTAATGTTTCAGGCTATATTGATACGCCAGACCCACCAACGATTATCAGCTATTTGCCCGGGCTTCTGTACAAATTTAGCTGTAGCTATCCACTGGAGTACTTGGTTAACAATACCCAGCTTGCTTCGTAAGTGTGCTTTTAATTTCTCTGTGTTCCATTCCCATATTTATGTAAGCCCATATGTATGTGTGCATATGCATACACACCTAAATATGTGCATGCCATAGCAGTATTGCCAACATAATGATGTGATTTCAGCTGTGTTAGAGTAAAGGGAAAGGAAAAAGCACTGAAAGAAGAGGTGACGCAAAGGACAAGTATTCTGTAGCATCATTTTATGAGATAATGTAGTTTATGATGAGGGCCTTAGATAAAGGGTAAAACTTCCCTTAAAATTCAGATGTTCTGCTGACAAAATGGTAGTAGCAAAAAATGGAAATTCTTCATGAAATAGTTTCTAAGTATGTGAATATAGAGTGCAAGAGGAAATGTTTCTATGAGTAAACCTTGTACATCATGAAAACTGGGTTTCTTTTTGTCACTTTGCCTCTCTGCTAATTGTGTTTCTGATTCATGTTTTCAATAGTATCCATTACTTTCTGCATAGTTAATTTTCTGTCAGTGTTTCCACTATAAATTCCTGTTTCTGAAGTTTATAACCCAAATGCATAAATAAACTTCTTGTGACATGAGTTTTTTAATGAGAAAAAAAAACACTGAAGTATGTAAACACAAAAAATATTTATCTTCATGATGGTTTTTGGTTTCTGTTGTAGGTCATCAGCTGCTATTTCTGTAAGAGAGAACAATGGTACATTTATCAGCACTTTGAATTTGTTGCTTTATAATGTGAGTATAGAACACAGCGGTATGGCATGGACTAAATGCATATCTGCATTATGTGGATACAAACTGGATTAGCAGAGCAAAGTAGCAGTCTTCATTATTTGCTATTCCCTTCCCATCCCTCCCAAGAAGAACCAGGCCTTTCATTCGGGCATCTTTCATCGCCAAGCTTTGTCCCTTTCATTTGCATGAACCTGTTGTCTTGTATTTATATGGCTGGTCTTTGAGGATACACAGTCTTTTTGTCCTGTATTTATATGGTTCCTCAATTTACAGCTCGGATTTCAGGTTGTAGTGCTATGCAAATAATCAGTTGTAGTAATCATCATCATCATAGTCTAGAGTGCATACGTGTGTTTGCATTTATTTTGTCTATGTGCACGTGTGTGTGTCTATGGACATGTGCATAGGTACACTGTAAGAGACAAAGACATTGTAAGTACAAAGAGTACTCTGTAGAATTCTGTAAAAATATTCTAGTCCTGTTCCCTTAGCAATAAACTGTAGCACTTTTACTATGGTATTTTTATGTTCAAGCCTCATCAGAGAGTTCTGATCATCTGCAGTACTAGTGAAGGATGTGGGATTTGTTCCAAATCTGTAGCCCGCTGTACTTGTTGCCTCATTGTGTGGACTGTCAAGATTTTAAGGGTTAATTTTAACAGCTTTCAACTCACACTTCTTCCATATGGTTTAGATAATTTAACATGAATATGCATTATTGTATAAGCTTTTACTATGTAAATATGGATGGTGACAGTAAAACTTGAAAAATGCATGGACCTCTACTTAACAACATTAATCCCTGAAATGATATTTTCATGTTGATTAAAATTTTTATTCATACATTTTAAATACCTGATTTAAATATCAATTTTTCAATCTATCAAGCAACATTTTTGTAAATTATGAATCAGATTTATTTGCATTATTATTCATGCTATCATGATGCTGAGTTATAATTCATGCAACCGATTTAAAAGTCAATGCTTTGTGCTTTGAACATAATGAGCTATAAATATTGTAACAGGACACTTTCCAAAGGCATGCTTAAAAAAAAGTTATGTTTATTTGATAGAGCAGAGCTCCAAATAACAACCTATAATAATATGTTAAAATGAAGATTATACTTCTCTCATTTTTAAATAAATCTGTGACCAAAAAGATGGGGCAGCGTGAGGGTACACAAATTTCTCAGTAGGGACAAGCATTGACGCCCACGTTTGCTGCCTTTCAGGGCCCAGTTCTGCACAGAGTCAGGTATAAACGCTACTGATGCTTGTATTGAGCACATTTTTTTCTTTAATACCACATGCCAAGCTGGGCTTTCATCCTCCCTACCCCAGCGAGTTTACAAGTTGACCATGAACAGTGGTGTCTTATTCTTCTGATTTCAGTTGTATTACTCACTCTAGTCAGTAGCACTAGCTTGAATAATACTGCTAAGGCTTGCAGATTCAAGTGGTGTATGTGCCCTTCTGGTTCACATCCCAGAGCTGAGTGTGTATACACAGACAGCTTATGCATTGCCTTCAGTCTGCCTGGTTGGCTGCGCCTTCTGTGACACCCATAGTCTTGTAAGCTGTGATCCTGTGGCCTCACTTGATCCCCATTAGATAGTCCTGGTTTTGGGAGGGGCCTCGAGGCTTCTCTCCACCCTTGGTATTGATGAGGCTTTGTGTACAGATGTGGCTCTTACCGGCGAGCAGCCATTTCAAACATTAGCTGTAGTAGTATTTCTTAACATTGACTCTTCATCTTCTCAGCTCACTTCCATCCTCTCTCATAAGGTGCTATTTACATTTACTTTGTGATGTTAGCATGTGTTAGCATGTGTTAGCATTAAGAAAGTCAAGAGGAGCCATTATGACAGTCTCAGAAATAGTGTAATAGCAAAACATTTAATGGGCTTTCACAGAGCCTAAGTGGCTATGTGCTTTTAGGTCTTACTGTAAATGTCTGTCTAAATAAATAAAAAATACTCTTTAAGAGGAAAAAAAAACAACTATAGAATGTAATAGTGAGGGACTTGCTCTAGACTTTTTAATCAGTTTGCAAAATCTGACAGAGCTATGTATTAGAAAAATATATAATTAATTTTAAAGAAGACAAACTTACCTGATCTCACGTGAATAGATCTACAAGGACTTGCTCTATGTATGGTGCAGGGCTGGTCTGTGTGTGTGCATGTGTACCTCCCAGGGCTGCTGATGCTGCAGAGATTGAATACTGGACATGCTGTGAATTTTGGCTTTGTTCTCTCTGAAAAAGTACTTGATTTATGTGCTTAATCCTTCTTGTTGCTGTCAGCTGCTGCTCTTGGTCTTGCCTGCCACACTGAACCTAGTAAAAATTCTGTTTAACAAAATTTTTCTTATGTATTGAGTGACCTCACAAGAGGTCTTAACCTGCTGAGTCCCTCTGTTTGCTGGATTAGCAATCTATTTGACATAGATGACATTACCAGTAAGTGCATTTTGATATGCTGAATTAACGTCTGTCACTCAGATCTGTTTCATGGCATTTTTGCTAACGTGACATTAATGGTTCAGCCTTTGAACAAAAAGCCAATAAAACAGCTACATCTGTGTAGTTGTGTATGAGGAATTCCCAAATCTTACATTTCAAGCAGGTTTTTTTAAACAGCATTTTTAAAATATTACCATTTAAATGAAAATGCTTGTTACTTCAAGTCTTCAACAAGCTAACTTCCAAAGGATCTACATTTTGGATAATAGATTGTGTCTGTTTTCCCAGACCATAGCTTAAGATATATAAAGCCTGGTGGCATTGCTATCTCCAGTAAATCAAATAACCTTAACAATCTTTCCTGGAAAAGGGTGCACTGTGAAAGCCTAGTTAAGCTCATCCTTTAGAAAACTACAGTAGCTGCTATGTTTGTTTGCAGGGTTTGGGGGACATACTGAGGTGCCAATGAATGATACCTTTTCTTTAATCACTGATCTGACCACTTTATAAAATCATAAAAAGATTCTCCAAAATAGCTGCTAGGATAAGGCCACTCAAGTGTCATTGATCTTCACAGAAGAACTTGTAGGCAAATGCTCTGGCACTGCTTTTTGCTTTTTCCCTTACAGAGGACAAAGTAAATGGCTGTCCTACATAGGAAAATTCCATCCATCAGGAAAATCTGATGGGAGTTCAGTCTGTGGATGCAGATAAGTTGTTACAGTGGGATTACTGGTACACTGAAGCAGTGTTTGTTTTTCAGGATTCAACCTACAGCCAACAACTCCTTATTCCAAGTACAGGTTTACCTTTGAAAACCAAAATATACGCAGCTGTGAGAGCAACCAACCTTGATGGCAGGTACCATAAAGGATGTTATTTCTTGTCTTGCTTGCTATTCAGCTCTTGGCATTGCAAAAGTTTCTGATTTAGAAGCAACTGTCTTTCCTCATAGCCTTTTTATGTTAAAATAGTGGTTGGTGTTTGATAATCACTGCCCTCAGCTGGAGGTTATCAGATCCTTGATGGTGAATACGTATCTTGCTGCTGTCCTCATTATTAAAGTTTTCTTGAGTTATACTTCAAATTCTATATTGTTGTTATTTAAGAAAGGGCCTCTGTAAGATGAAGTGAAAAACTCCAGGGCTTTTAGAAGTGAGATGGTTTTGATTTCTAGTCCTACATGACCATGACTGATGAGAGGAGATATACAACATGTGTGTTGGTATGATGGTTGACTTGCATGAAATAAAATGATTTGTTTTTTACAATTCTGCTGTTACAGTGTGCTGCTCAGTTTTGTAAATTATGGGAAGAAACTTGGGTGATATATTGGGAATACAGGATGACTTGTATGTGACCTGTTAGATACCATAGCTTAGCTTCAATGTAACAGCCTGCATTATGAGTTTATACACTTGTCTGTACTGTCTTTTAATCTTATCTCACTCACTCTACAGCACTACTCTTATGTTGGCAGTTTCACTCATCTATCACTTTGCTCCCTGTGCAGGTGGAATGTTTTGATGGACTACTGTTACACCACGCCATCTGGTAATCCTAGCGATGATATTCGGTATGATCTTTTTTTCAGGTAGGTCCTGTGGAAAACCAGTGTTTTGTGGGTTCTTTCTTTAATAAGCAGTTACAAATCTCTCTAATAGCGGTGTTGCAAACTGCCTGGAAAGTCTAAGCAATATTAGCAGGGAGGACTAAGGGCTGAGCTTACAGATAACATGTCAGGATTTATCTTGTTTGTGTACATAAAAATAGAGGCAAGTGTGTGGTTGTAAGAATTATGAAGGTAGAGAAGCATATATCTAAAATGGCTCTACTAGACATACCATAACCACCCAAACTAAATGGCTAAACTGGCCTTTGTTTTACCAAAGGTACCCTTGTGGTGAGTGACAGTGATATAAAACATCATACATTCCAGTTCAGGAAGGCAGTTAAGCAAATGATTAAGGATAAATAGATGCTCCTGCTGCTACTCCCAGTAATGACATTTATTTGAAAGGGAACTTTGAAAAACATCTTGGCAGTATCTCAGATTAAATTTTATCAGTGACGGTTGCTGGGGAGATACTGTCTTCATCTGGAGTTACCTGTCTATACCAGTTAGCATACCTGATTACTTTTTGCTTCAGGTCTCAAGATTCTTTGGGCACTGGAACTAAATGATACCTTGACTATAGCTGTGATGTTGCAAAACGAAACATAATGTCTTTGTAGGAATGCATTTCAACACAGGACTGTGCAGGCTTCAGGCTGGATGTGGCTGTCCATCTTGGACATTAGGGCACTGTGTTCTTTTCCAAGGATCTAAAGCACTGAACTTGCCGCTTAAGTTATCTTATTCTCAGCTAAGAGCTTCAAATTCTCATCATATAGCTGCTCATCCTAGTTTTAATACTGTGTTCATCCTAGTTTTGATACTATGTTCAGTTTTGGGCCATTCACTACCTGGAGCATGTCCAGAGAAGGGCAATTAAGTTGCTGAAGGGTCTGGAGGAAAAAATCTTATGAGGAGTGACTGAGGGAACTGAAGTTGTTTAGTCTGAAGAAGAGGAGACTGAGAAGGAGACCTTATCACCTGCTACAACTACCTGAAAGGGGGTTGTAGTGATGTGGGTGTTGGTCTCTTCTACCAAGTAATTAGTGATAGGATGAGGGAAAACAGCCTCAAGTTGTACCAGGGGAGATTTAGATTGGACATTAGGAAAAATTTATTTGCTGAAAGAGTGGTCAAGCACTGGAACAGGCTGCCCAGGGAAGTGATGGAGTCACCATCCCTGAAAGTGTTCAGAAAACGTGTAAATGTGGCACTTCAGGACATGGTTTAGTGGGCATGGTGGTGTTGGGTTGACAGATGGACTTGATGATCTTAGAGGTCTTTTCCAACTTTAACAATTCTATGATTCTATAATCTTCTCTAAAAAAATAGCTGTGACAAGGACCCACAGACAACTATAATTGAAAATGGCAAGAGCCAAATGGGACGTTTTTCCTTTGAGGTATTTCGCTTTGTGAAGCACAAGAACCAGAAGATGTCTACGGTCTTCCTTCACTGCGTAACAAAGCTGTGCAGAGCAGATGACTGTCCCTTTCTTGTGCCAGTAAGTTTCAGTGGATGGAAGTTGCTGTTAATTATCTGGATATAAAAATAGGCACACTGGAGTTATTCTGCATCCAAATGCTATGGAAGTTTGGATGGCACAGAATGAAGGTGACTTGTAGAGTCTGAAGTAAGAATGCTTTTTGTGTCTGAAAGAATGTAAAACAATTGATGAAGAACAGGGCAATGAATATTGTAATCTGGAGATAGAATAATACTAGAACTGCAAAACACAGGTTGTTGAATGTGTGAGAAATGACCTCTTTGCCTTTTGGACGTTAATTCATTTTTTAAAGTAACAACTCTTGAGACAGCTTCGGAGCTGATATTCTTAGTATAGCATCTAAGAAACAAGGCATCCACAATCACAGTGGATGAATATAAATATCTTAGAACAGAATTTATGGAAAATTTAAAGCTGTAGTACGTGCAGTTATGCTAACAAGGAAAATTTGAAGGAGTTTCTGATAGTGCAGAAAACCCAGCTTGCTGTATCCCCTGTTGTTTATTACCTCCTCCCTTATAGTTTGGAAACAGTTGTTTTGAAGTTCATGAAGTTGTGTCAGTTCAAAAATTATTTAATTTTAGGAGTGTCAGGAACAACAAGTACATTTTGGTAATTGAAACATTTAAATAGACATGAAAACACAGAATATTCTGTGTTGATCTCTTCAGAATGCAGTATCATTTCCTACTGAATGACTTTCCATTTAGAATTTTAAAACACTCTCAGGTCAGTATACTTCTGACATTTTGTACATTATTTTACACCTTTAAATAATTCATTGTTTCTATTGAGAATTTATGTTCTGAGGTTCTTGAAGTTCTTTCACATTAAGTTGAAATTAAAGAAATGCTCTTGGTCGAAACATACTTGAGAACTCAAGATTAAGGTAGATGATAAGTTAGAGATGTTAAATGTGGATTTCAGATGACAGAGTGCTGGAGATTGTTTTAATGTGTGTCACTGCTATTTAGAACTCCATGGAAAATACGTGAGCTTTAACTTGAGAAGCTTGTTAGAATAAGGTTGTAGCGTGATGTCTATCCCTGCTCAAGAGAAACACATTTGTTAGGGAAAAACGTCTGTAAACAAAGCTTTGGGAAATTGACTACTGAAAATTTAATATACAATAAGATGGATGTTCTACAGAACAGCAATGTAGTTCTGTAAGTGAAGTGATGCAAAATCCAACAGGAAGCCAGGTATTTATAAGACAGACTTCTAGGGAATATTGCAGCTATTTTTATTGCGAAGTAATTTAATGCATACTAAGAAATAAAATCAAAGTTGTAGTATTGCTTATAAAAGAGTTTACATTAAAAGAGGAAGCACAGAATGGTAATAATTCCATTCCACTCTGAAACTGTGATTGTTTTTGTTAACCGCTCAGATTTGTAGTAACAGAGAAAGAAGAGACGTTGGTAGGAGGACAACTTGGAGCCCTCAGAGCGCCTTTGGCAATGCTGTGATCTCTGCTGGTCCCATCATTACAAGAAGTGGTAGGAATAAGCAAACTTTTTCTATGGATTGCTGGAATTTCAGAAACCTGGGGAAATGTTTTGGAGTTTAATATAAATTTGCGGTGACTTAAAAAAGGGTGGATTCTCCATTAGTTTGCTGGGTATTTTTTTCCCTATTGTTGGAGTCTTTGATAGAAATTTTGAGCTAATATTTCTGGCTTACACATTCTTCCTGCTTACCCCAGTAAAATCACTGTGGGATACTGTTATGCATATAAGACCATTATAAAAGCCCACACTCAGTGAGTTAACTTCTTTTGTTGTCTGATTTCACTGAAGATAATGGAGTTTAAGGTGCTATGTTCAGTGTTGCAATTTAATTTGGACAGCTAATGAATATTCACTGTCACTTTCTATCCACCAATTCTTCCAGCTTCACCTGTGGGTTTTTATCTGTGTTGCATAAAATTAATACATGCTATGCTTAGCCTTCAGCTATAAGAAAGAAATAGAGCAAACACATTGTAAATTCTAAACAGAGTGGGCCAAAATATACTCTTAAATCCAGGCTGAAATTCCATGATTTCCATTTTTATTGCCAAAGGGTTGTTTTTTTGTGGTTGTTTTTTTTGTGGGTGGGGGTGGAGGGGTTTTTGTTTCCTTTAGTTTTGTTTTGTTTTGTGTTTTGTTTGTTTGTTTTTCCAAGCAGCTCTATATGCAACTTGCAGTCTCTAAAAAATAATTTGCAGCTGCTGTTGACAAGATAATAAAAATAAAATATTTGGAAAACGTTTAAGAAATTCTGTTTACAGATATTTATAAGTAGTTGCAGTTAAAGAACTGATTTCAGCAGTCTTAAATTTAGGAAGCTGAAAGCAGGACTGAATCCTGTCTAGGAAAAATAATCTAAACACTTGAGAATAAAATCCTTCTTTATGGGCAATGTGGTTGTGCCTACATATACAAAGAAAACCACTGACCCTCCAGAACAGCGTACCATCTAGTAAGAAACCATTTTTAGAACAAATACTCTCTGTATTTGCACTCTGTTTAAGCAACATTTCTGAAATGAAAATGTTGTTCTGCATTATACATAGTCCCAATTGAGTTGCTGCTGTCTGATTAGTCAAGAAAAAGTGAAAAGAACTAACTTCAAAGTTGGATGCAAGAGTACTTATGGGAAATGAATGACAGATTTGCTCAGACAAACTTGTATGCTAGAGGAATGCTGCCTTAGGCAAGGAATGGAAACTAACTAAAGTTTATGTAAGCAACCCCTATTAGGTAATATAGTTTCTGATTCAAATGCAAGCAAACAGAGATCTGTCCACATGCGTTTTATGACCCCAAAGAAAGAGTAAATGATTTTACAATTTTTTGACAACTGTTGAGGCTTGGTGGGAGTTTTTTAAAATGAAAACATGAATAAAGCTAGAGAAGGAAAATAATTTTTTTTAAAGGTGTCTTCTGCTTGAGATCTGTGGCTAAAGCTTTTTAGATTAGACAGATCTGCATCTCTATACTATGCTTTTGGAACATCCCACGTCTGCTGACAGAAGGATGGTTTGATGAGAAATACTCTGAGAAATGGGGATTCAGTTCTGAACTCTGCCATGAATTTCAAGAGTGGCTTTGGGGAAGTAATTTAATTTAACTTGCACTTAATTTCTGGAGCAGAAAGAGGGAATTTGCATTTCCTCCCGCTGTCCCTTCCCATTGTGAAAATAAGTGCATTAAAAATATGAGCTTCATGAATTCTATAGTCAAGAAAAGACAAGAGGTAAGGCCATGAGATAACTTGAACAGAACAATCTGTTCTGTTCTGTTCTCCTTTCGGTTGAGGAGTGCCGGGTTGCAGTGCTCGCTTACTCTGGTGTGATGCTGCATGGAGGCACGCACGCTATTTTCAAGACCAACTCTGGTCCAGCTTTAGTACAGATACATTTGTAAAGAGCCCATCAAACCCACTGCACCTGACTCACAGTAGTATGTACCCCACTATTGGGTCTGCAGTTAAATGGATGTGCAAGCCCTCACTTAGGTTGGTGCTGCTGGTCCTGTGCACATCAGTGTCTGAAGAGGCACCTCGCGTTTGCCAGATCTCTCCATTACTCTAGTCATCAGTTGTTCTGGTAACAGTTGTTTATGCAGAGTTGCCTTGATAGGAACTGAATAATGCTACTGCGAATGAGTAGTGCTCCTTCTCCTGTGTATGTCTGAACTCTTCTTTCTAACATTCTGTTCCTTTCAGAGAAACTTTATTCTTGTTTGTTAATCTAAGTCATTACAGAAGACATACACAGATGAAAATGTTTTAGTCTCTGTGTATAGAAACAAAGCAGGTACCTACTTGTGAAGGTGAAATTGTGTAGCTTTTGATGGATGTCTCACTTAAACTTAGAAGACAGCTGCTCACAGAATCACAGAATGTTAGGGATTGGAAGGGACCTCAAAAGATCATCTAGTCCAATCCCCCTGCCGGAGCAGGAACATCTAGATGAGGTTACACAGGAAGGTGTCCAGGCGGGTTTTGAATGTCTCAAAGCAAATGTATACGTGAGCTGTGCTTACAAGTTGCTCAAAAAATTAAAAACTGTGATAAGAAATGTAGTTCTGAGATGGACACTTGTAAGTAATACAAATACAAATATAAAAGTTTCCCTGAATATAATGCTACTATGTAACAGTCAAGAGAAAAGTGAGCATAGGGAAAGGGCATTTTTGTAATCGTTTGTTATCACTGATGTATTTTTCCTTGAAAAACTCAAGGTTTTTGTTTTTTTTCCTGTACAGATCTTGTAATACAATTAACGATGAAGTGACTTGCATTTAATACCATGCTTATGGTTGTATTTTTATTGAGGGACAGAATAGAATTGGCCACATTTTCAATTAAGAGCTTCCTGCATTTAGGTGTGGGTTGGGTTTTTTTTGGCCTCCTTTCCGAATACTAAGTAACTTCGTATTGGTGTGCTCACATTAAAAATGAAGCAACGTCATGTAATTAATGTTGTTGTCCTTATTCTACCAGCGATGTTAAAAGCCAATAGTCGGTGTTGCAAGTATAGCTGATGTCTTTGAAAACAAAGCTAGGACTATTGGATTTTGTGTTTCAAGGAGGGGAGGGAGGTAGGCAGAGGTATTTGTACAATATAATGCATCCTGGTTTTGTTTTATACAGATGAGACGCCAACCAACAATTCACAGCTTGGTAAGTTAATCAGAATTCCGAGAAACATAAAAGAAGGTTTGAGAGAAACAGAAAGAAGATGAACCATTTTGATTGAACTCTATGCACTGAGCTGGAATGGTTTTTACTTTTAGGCTTGTTTTTGTCATTTAGATGAGTCAGTAGTGACAGGCTATAAAGAAAGCAATTGGTGAACCTGGAATGCTCAGTTTAATTTGTGCACCCAGCCCCACCAACGTAGCAACTTCTAATTCCAATGATGGAATTGAAATGAAAATCTGCTCCTATGACATATGAGGTTGAGGGAACATTGCAACTGCCAGATGCAAAATCAGACTTATGCAGTAAAATCTACACATGCAATCCAGAGGTAAAGCAGCAAAATGGTTATTATGGTGCAGTTGGGCTCAGTTCACAGCTCAAAGTCAGAAGACCTCTGCTTCAGCTCCTGTTCTCCTGGCATTTAACCACACAAAGAGCTTATGGAGAAGCTGAGATAGAACTTATGGTCTCCTATGGCAATGAAGAAAATAAGCTGCAGAGGAGATCTTTAAGTTTTAGGGTGCTTCTCCTCTGGGCACTGGAAGGACTTGCTTCAGCCTGTCTGTCACTGTTCTCTGCTGGCAACAAGAAGTAGCTAATGACTAAGAAAGGATGGTCAAGGTAACCAGGCAGTCCATTGGGCCATTCCACCTCTTACTTATTCATAACAGGACTGAGTGGCACAAGCAATCTATCCTGTCCTCGGAATTCTAATACTATTTGTTCCCTTATTTTCTTAACTTAGACCACATAAAAAGCAGATATCTTTCTTTCCTGGCATGGAAACAAACTTCTCTCTGTAATGAATTTACTTCCTGATGTGTTCCTACCCATGGGTATCATTAAAATAATAATAATAATAATAATAATAAT